TCACTCAGACAAAGGTAAACGCCATAGTGCTCACTCAGACAAAGGTAAACGCCACAGCGCTCACTCAGACAAAGGTAAACACCACAGTGCTCACTCAGACAAAGGTAAACGCCATAGTGCTCACTCAGACAAAGGTAAACGCCACAGCGCTCACTCAGACAAAGGTAAACGCCATAGTGCTCACTCAGACAAAGGTACTCTCTGTGTATCTGGGCTTTGCTGAAGTTATTCGTGAGTGAGTTTTTATTGTGTTTGACATTTTTTAATGTACATGTTGTCATCACCAGGCTCATTGTGTCACTTTTTTTTCCCATAGAAATTTGTTTTCCTTGCTGGGGTCATGATTGTTGTAAAGGTTAATGATAGTTGTAAAGGTTAATGATAGTTGTAAAGGTTAATGATAGTTGTTAAGGTTAATGATAGTTGTTAAGGGTAATGGTAGTTGTAAAGGTTAATGATAGTTGTAAAGGGTCATGATAGTTGTAAAGGGTACTGATAGTTGTAAAGGGTACTGGTAGTTGTAAAGGGTCATGGTAGTTGTAAAGGGTCATGGTAGTTGTAAAGGGGAATGATAGGGTAAAGGGTACTGATAGGGTAAAGCACATAGAGCATGCGGTAGACTGGTGATGTGTGCTGTATAAACATACACAATATGTGCTCTATTATACACCTGTCAAGTAATTTTCAAATGTGATATCTCTTTGAGCATTTTTTAGAAAATGAAAGCGCGGAGCATAAGTGCTATTCATTATTATCATTGTAATTATTATTGTTGTTATGATTATTATTGTTGTTATTTTTATTGTTGTTATGATTATTATCATTGTTATTATTACTGTTGTTATGGTTATTACTGTTGTTATGATTATTATTGTTGTTATGATTATCATTGCTGTTGTAATGGAGAAAGTAGCCAAAGAAGTCCCCCAGCATTGACTCACACACCACCCATGTTCTGTTCCCGTGTTGCCCTGACTGTGTCGGGCGCGCGCAGACGGAGAGCATCGAGGGCCAGGAGCACGACCACAGCGTCAACAGCAAGATCAACCTGGTCGACCTGGCAGGCAGCGAGCGGCAGTCCCTGGCGAACACCTCGGGGGAGAGGCTACGGGTACGTGTGGGCACTGGGGGGTTCGTGTTTTATGTACGGGTCACTGGTCAGTCTGTTGTGTTGTGTTGTGTGGGTGGTTGGCGGGTGCACTGGGGGGTCCGTGTTTTATGTACGGGTCACTTGTCAGTCTGTTGTGTTGTGTCGTGTTGTGTGGGTGGTTGGCGCACTGCGGGGGGTCCGTGTTTTATGTACGGGTCACTGGTCAGTCTGTTGTGTTGTGTTGTGTGGGTGGTTGCAGGTGCTGAGGTGTGGTTTGCTCCTTCTTTCCTATCAAACATCTATCTTCCTTATCTCTTCTCCTTCTTTTTTGTGTTTGTTACTCTCTTGTATCACCTCTATTCTTCAGCGCTTATATGACCTTATTGTGTTTCAAGTGCTGTAAAACTGTTTCTAAAACTGTGTTGTGGTGTGTTATTTTGTGTTGTGTCGTGTTGTGGTGTGTTGTGCTGTGTTGTGTTCTGCTCTCTGCCATGACTCTGTGTCATTTCTTCACCGACTGTAGTTCCGTCCTGTCTGCTGTTGTGTGGTGCTGCGTTGTCATGTTGCTGTTGTCCTCTCTAAATGTTTTTTTCTCCGTCACTTCCAGGAGGGAGCTAACATCAACAAGTCGCTGTTGACCTTGGGCAAGGTCATCTCCCTGCTGTCGGAGAGATCGGTGACCAAGAAGCGGAAAATCTTCATCCCCTACAGGGACTCGGTGCTCACATGGTGCAGAAATCTATCTCACTGTCTGTCTCACTGTCTGTCTCTGTCTCACTGTCTGTCTCTGTCTCACTGTCTGTCTCTGTCTCTCTGTCCCACCGTCTGTCTCTGTCTCACTGTCTGTCTCTGTCTCTCTGTCTCACTGTCTGTCTCTGTCTCACTGTCTGTCTCTGTCTCACTGTCTGTCTCTGTCTCACTGTCTGTCTCTGTCTCATTTTGTCTCATTGTCTGTCTCTCATCAATGCTTCTGTCTCACGCCACTGTCTTTCTCACTGTCTCTGTCTCAATGTCTGTCTCTCTGTCTCTGTCTCAATGTCTATCTCACTGTCTCTGTCTCAATGTCTGTCTCTCTGTCTCTGTCTTTGTCTCACTGTCTCTGTCTCTGTCTCAATGTCTGTCTCTGTCTTTGTCTCACTGGCTCTATCTCAATTTCTGTCTCTCTGTCTCTGTCTGTCTCTGTCTCACTGTCTCTGTCTCACTGGCTCTGTCTCACTGGCTCTGTCTCACTGGCTCTGTCTCAATGTCTGTCTCTCTATTACAGTCTCTGTCTCAATGTCTGTCTCTCTATTACAATCTGTGTCTCAATGTCTGTCTCTGTCTCTGTCTTTGTCTCACAGTCTCTGTCTCACCGTTCAGACTTTCCTTCTACTTCACAAAGTGTTCCTTGGGTGTCCCCCCCCATTTCAGAAGATAAAACAAAGGAACAGTTTCTCTCTGGGTCCTGATGTCTCTCTCTCCAGTTACTATTTCTAATTTTCAACACGTTCCACATTTGACCAATATTGGTCACACGTGATTTGAAAAGAGATCTTCTAGTAAAATGGTAACCCTTACCTCAGTGGGCTTGTCGCGCCCTCACTTCCCTCTAGTCCCGGTCATACTGGAGTCCTTGACCTCCTCCGGCACGGCCTATATACTGACTGTGTCATACTGGAGTCCTTGACCTCCTCCGGCACGGCCTATATATTGATTGTGTCATACTGGAGTCCTTGACCTCCTCCGGCACGGCCTATATATTGACTGTGTCATACTGGAGTCCTTGACCTCCTCCGGCACGGCCTATATACTGACTGTGTCTGCGATTATTTGCGGAACAAAAAATGTCTGTGCTGCTTTTGTCTGAAGCTTTAGAAGATAAGGCAGAAGTTTTTCAGGGGGCCACGGCCAACGTCTGCCAGACAAACGACACGTGTGTATAGAGCAGTGGGAAAACTGAACATTTTGTTTGTCATAGGATGTCTCCTTGTTCATGCTCTGTGTGTGTGTGTGTGTGTGTGTGTGTGGAGGGTGGCTGGTGGGTGCTCTAATGTGTTCTTTCCACTTTGACGTCAGGGTTACTGTCACTCTCAGAGCTGCCAGGCTTCACGTAGAAAACATATGTAATGTATTGCTGAGGGTCGGAGTATGGAAGTCAGTCCAAGACGGCCGTGTGTGTGTATTTGTGTGTGTATTATGTATGTATATACATATCTGTGTATATGTGTGTCCCCCCGGGCTACTAAAGGAGTCGCTGGGAGGTAACTCTAAGACGGCCATGTGTGTGTGTGTGTGTGTGTGTATATGTATATGTGTGTGTGTGTATATCTGTATACATATATGTATATGTTACAGGCTGCTAAAAGAGTCTCTAGGAGGTAACTCTAAGACAGCCATGTGTGTGTGTGTATGTGTCCCCCCAGGCTACTAAAAGAGTCACTGGGCGGTAACTCTAAGACGGCCATGATCGCCACCGTGTCCCCGGCCAGCCAACACGTAGAGGAGACACTCAGCACACTACGCTACGCACAGCAGGCGCGCTCCATCGTCAACGTGGTGCGCATCAATGAGGACCCCAAGGCCAAGATCATCCGCCGTGAGTGCACACTGTCTCTTCTCACTTCCTTCGCAACTCTCTTCCTGGCAGTTCGCGTTTAGTTTTGTTTTAGTAGATGAGTTTTTACGGCGCTCGCAACTGCATCAGGTCATATGAGCACCAAGGGGTGGATGTCAACAGAGAAGTCCTTACAGGGAATCAGACTTACTCTGCTCA